TGACTGACTATGAGATGTAACACCAGCACTTTCTGACTGTCCTATGCAAGCCAGCCTAACCAGAAAGCAATGACAAGTCTCAGAGTCTTTGTGGCATTGTTGTAAATCTTTTAACAGTAACTAGTGATAAGGCAAGTGTTTCAAAAGAAAGTACTTAAAGCTTGATTAGATTGAAGTGTTTAGCTATCTTGTACTTGAGTAGCTCAGAGACTACTAGCAGGAGGCATTTAGAGGCAGAGACAAGAGAGTAATCCGAGTCTAGACCAGAGCCAGAGAGTTCCATAAATTGGTCCAAGAGTGAAACTAGGGGTCTGAATGTAGGGCAAGGAGCAAGAGGGACTTGGAGCAGGATGCCACAGGAGCACTGGTTTGAAGCAGGATGGTTGTTTTCAATAAAGAGAAAAGACCCCAGAGGCTCCAGAACTGATTCAATCTTAGGATCTTGGAACTATCCTCCAGATTCTCCTACCAGAATCCAGCCCATTCAGCAAGAGCCCTGATCATGCACAGCTACTCCTGACTCAAATTTATCAGAGAAAGAATTGTGTCATAAGCATATTAAGGACACTGCTCAAAATGACTGCTGTTAAATAGCAGGGTTGTGCATACAGTACTTTACAAATTATTTGGAATACATTCAAGCAATGTGAGCCCAGCAGTATTTCTCTGCTCTTCTTTGGAGCAGCTGGCCCCTTTTTCAGGCTTCTGCCTGAGCCTGAGAAAAACTACTTTAATGATTAACAAGTTTACACCTTAAAGCCGCAAAATCTTTTTCTCTCATGAGGCAAGAGGCACTGTGCACACACAAGGTCCAAGCTTCCAACTAGTTTTTGAAGCATAAACAGCCCTATTATATAGCAGTAGGAACAAAGAGAACTGGAGAGTGAAAGTAGCATCTTTGCCTTGATCTCAGGCATCTAAATTTGTTTTCTTCAAGTTTTAGCTGAATACATAGTTCTGTTGAAGGCATCCCACTGTCTTCAAGCTCCATTATAGTATCTTTGCATTTGAAAGCATATTTTTCTATATTTTTCCATATTGCATGTAACACATAGTTATGTGTTAATTAGTTAACTGGATCTGACCTAATTAGTACTTGGAGAGAAGATCGTCAGAAAATACTAGGTTAGACCAGATGGTTTAAAAAACAGATTGGTAGAAAGCAATACATACTGTTGCCCCAAAACCTACATTAATATATTATTGAAATCACCAGGAGTCATGCTCAACAGCTTTTTAGTAGCTGTGCCACAGTGCTGAACAAGATGAATATAAATCTTGTCATCAACAGCAATTGTAAGATTTTTCCTATGTACTTTTACTTAGCCAGGTAGACCTCATCCTATCCTTGTTCACTCAATTTCTTTTTCCTGTAGAGAAACAAACAAAAATACTGTGTGGCTTGCAACTTTATTAAGATCATTTCATATCCTATCCAGTTTGGGGCCATCTACAAATTTGATAAGCGTTCCATCTACCTCTTCATACAAGTAATGAATGAAAATATTGAGTACCAGGCCCAGGATCAAAAACTATGGCACCCTACTTGATACCTCACTCCAGTTTGAGCTTTGAGAAGTTTCAAGCCAGAGTCATGCCATTCAGCTTGCTAATCAGAACATTTATTTATTTAGCAAATGTATATAGCCGCCATCTCACACAACATGACTCTGGGCAGCATACAATATATAAAAACATAAAAACCATAAAACACTCAAATATAAATAAAACAGAAAAACCGAAAACATAAAAACCCGAGATAGCGAGAGAATCAGCTGACATCACACAACCACCTTGCCAGCTCCCCATGGGACCCACAGGGTTGATGAAAAAACCATGTTTTGAGGGCTTTCCAGAAGGCAAGCAGATGGGGGAATGATGTTCCAAAGGGCGGGGGGCCTTTTCTAAAGGCACGCCATCTGAGTCCCGCCAGATGGAACTCCTTCGCAGAAGGACCTGCAGTGTACGCCTCCTACTCGACATGACGGGACAGGTAAATGTAACCAGGAAGAGGCAGTCCCTCAAACGTTAAAGAATATTTTGTCAATGCTTTGCTAAAGTCAAGATATATCCTGCCCACCACATTCCCACTATCACCTAAGGATATTACCCAATCAACAAGTGAAATAAAATTAGTCTGGCAATTCAATCTATGTGGATTTCTATTATCAATATTATTGTTTTAAATATATTTATATGCCATTTGCTATATGATTTGTTCTAGACCCTTTTCAGGTATTAATGTTAGACTGACTGATGTATAGTATTCACTGTCTTCCTTTACTTCTTAAAGATAATAACATTTGTCCTCTTTCTGTCAGCTTCACCCAATTATCCAGGATTAGGGGTTCAACCAGGCTACCAGCAATTTGTTCAGCACTTCATAGGCTTGGTTGGCAATTTGGATAGCAACATATCCAATCAGGTAACAACTGCAGCTTGAAATAATAATACTAAAACTACTACTACTAAGAATTTGAATCACAATCACAGAGTCTTGGAAGCTCACAAAATTAACTATTCACAATAATAATATAAAAACGTAACACAATTAAACCCCAGAACAATACATAGTATCATAAATCTAACAAGTACAAACTAAAATCCTGCTCCTTCAACTAGCACTTCAGAATGGAACATATATCCTCCTCTCAGAGAAGATGGAGCGAAAATAGGAGTTAAGTAGTTCTGCCTTTTCTTTCGTTCTTTCTAATTTGGTACTTTCGTTATTGTTATTTAGCAACTGGTGTATCAGAAGCAATGTAAGTTACAACTTCAGTCATCTCCACTGGCTTCCTCTTTTTTACCTTGTATTATTTATTTAGAAGGAAGATTTATTCATAACTTCCTTTTTGAACTCCCCACTGCTAAACTGTGAACTTGCTCCTTAGGAACTAATTTCTAAGAATGTTGTCTTCTATGTCTTGTCTTTAGAGTAGTCCCTATTTCCTCAGCAGGAATCAATAAACCACCCCAATAAGCAATCAAATGCAGTCCATTTAGAAGTTCACATGTTATTGTAGTGACTAAATGCTGTCAAGTGACTTAGTGATCTCCATAATGATCTGCCTTTAAGTTGACCTTTTAGGTCTTTCGATTGTACATTCATTGCTGTCATAGTCAAACCATCCACCCAGCTGCTGGCTGCCTCTTCCTTTTGTCTTTCAACTCTTCCAAGCATTATGGACTTCTCAAGGGAAATGTGCCTTAGCTGCAAGGCGCTCATGTTCTGCAAGGCATCTATAGCAACCCCAAATTAAATGAAAATAAAAATTTAAATTATTAATCTCATGAGTTCAGTAACTCTTTGAGTTCAATATTGTAACAGTTTGTAAGATTCCAGGGTAAGATTGTTGAACTCTCATGACATATATCCATCTTGAGATCTGGGGCAATTTGGGGGGATGCAAAAGTCCAGGAAAGTTACCATCCTCCTGTTTGTTTGTTGCACTGCTGCCTGATCAGAGTCTGGACTTATAGGTTGATCATGTAGTATTATTACAATGATTGTATGAATGTAAGAGACAAAGGAAATACTGAATTAAAGGAAAAAGGAAAACAGATTTGTATTTTAACATATTCAAGAAGCTGAAAACATGAATTCCAATTGACAAATACAAATACAGAAAAGGGAATTTGCAGCAAGAAGCAAGTTTTATAGTTTGCATGTAAGTAAACTTAGATGGATTCGGTGGAACTGACTCAAATCTATTAAGTTCAGT